AGGTAGAGATTGTGGCAAACTTTTCTAACCGCTTCTGCCCTTGGAGCGTCCGGCCGGCCCTAAGGAACTGCACAGCCCCACACCTCAAGAGCCCCGGGGCTCCAAAAAAATAAAAGACTTCCAGCCGCTTCTTTAGAGGAGGAACCACCGGCAGTGCCAGCTTTTGCATGTTACAGCCCGGTTAGGTAAGTTGGGAAGGGCACAGGTGGATTAAGAGCACTCTGTAGCACAGGTGGAACCTCTCTCCCAAAAGACCCCAACGTGTGAGCTGGACAGAGATTGGGGAGAGCAGTCCTGGGCTTGTGGTCTCTTCCCTTTCTAGAGTATGTATATTTCACCTGTGAAAATAGCCTTAATTCTTCTCTTGAAGAGGCCTCTCTAATTAGGGAAGGCAGCTGTATTGGTTTCTCTCACAAATAATGTAATGCGTGGAACAAACTAAGTGTTTGCTAGTAACGTGGAACATAACGTGGAGCAAACTAAGTATCTGCCAGTAAAATAGTGTGACTTTGATGAGGGAAACGTGTGCGCACCACTTAGAGCAGTGCCACGTCCCCAGCTGAACAGGAGGGGGCTTCGAAATGCCTGATTTCAGCTCAGGGAGATCAAGGATTGGTGTAAGGACCGTAATGGTGCTGTGAAGGTGTGTTTCTATAAGGTTTGTTTGGTGTTTTGTTGCTGTACGTCTGCTCTGCTGTACCCCCCTCTTAAACTTCCTGAAGTGCAGCTAAACTAGACTTTTTTTGACACAGTGGTAGAGTACGTTTCTATTAACACTGCATGGCTTCTGGCTTAAATTTAGCTCAAAATCCTTGTGAAAAGTAGTGAATGCATAATCTTCTGGCAAGGTAATAAAACTGCAAGAATACAATGCAGAGTAGCTGTTGTTCGGTTTAATCTGTGTCTAATAATTTGATTATTATTTTTTTTAAGACCTTAGAAAATCGGATATCTATCTACTCTCAAACCATTCTACAGCTATTAATTTATACATGCTTTATTATATAGGCGACTGGTTCCATAGGGATATTAGCATAAACCAAGCAGGTGCATGATATTTTCTAAGACAGCAGGCCTTACGGGAGTTGTGGCAAGCTTCACTTTAAGTTGCATTTATTAAATAGTTACCCTAAAAAAGAAAATTGCTTTTTAACTTATCATTAATATAGTTGCTTATGTGTATTCTTACTTGGCAGGGCAGTTTTTTGGAGACTGTATAGCCTCAAGTACTTATTCTCTATGAAACCAATAACTTATTATTTTAATCTAACTTAAATGATGTAGGGCTTAATTTACTAGAAAGGTCAAAGTGCTTGCTTCTGTTTGTTTGTGGTTTGTTTTTTTTTCTCCCCTTTGGATATGATTTACATTGCTTTTCAGTAATAATTTATAATCCATGACTGATTTTAGAGAAGCATGTACCCGTGTCTCTGTTCTTCACAAAAATATTCTTCAAGTGTATCCCTTGTAGTGTGTGCAGTCACAAGGGGGTATTTGGACAAATTGAAGTGGTGATGGGGGGAAACTTTAGGTGAAATTGTAAGGTGATGACAACAGTATGTAGATAAAGGCCCATAATGAGATTGATTTCTGTACTGTCCTTGAAGTGAACTTACACAATAGAGAAATGAGAACTTGAAGACAGAAAAGATAATTTTTTTTCCCTATTCTTAAAGTCATTCTAGATTCACATTACCAATTTATGTAACCCTAAATTTTAAATATTGTGCCGTAGTTGGTATGTTGATGACATCTGTTTTTCTGGATCATAAAAGCATCTGGTAAGTTTAATGTTATAGAAGACAAAAATGATAGGGCTTAACAAACCTGTTCTCATAAACCAGCTTTCTTCTGAATTCAAACATTAATGTTTGAGTAGATATCAGAAATATTATATCATAGATATAATGAGCATAATGGAAAACTTCATATTTTCCTATTGATTTAAAAAAAACAACCAACAAACCCAACTAACAACAACAACAAAAACCTCAGAAAACCTCTCCACACATACCTCCTTGTCTCTGGGGCAGCTGAACAAGAGGCTTCATCAAGTATTTTTCATTCTGAAAAGCAGAGAATTAGAGTGTATTAGTATACCAAATAAGAGTACGAAGGTTGGAAAGTACTGTAATGATTTTTAAGGATTTACAGAAAAAAAGAAACAATATTGAAACAACTGATAGATTTAAAAAATTTTTTTTTTCTTAAGGACCAGGGAATGTAAAATAAGTTTTTTGAAGAAATGGCTCACTATAGTTAGGTCTCCTAGTATAGAAATGGACTTTGAAGATGCAGATATTTGCAATAAAATCACATACATTTTCTGTTTGCATTTTCTTCTAATTTTGATGGGCTCTTGGCCTACAGTGTTCTTTGATGCTCTTTGTGGGGAGTGGACAATACAGATGCTGTGACATTTTATTTAGTATGGATATGGTATTGCAGTGGTCTGAACAGATGCTGGGAAGATTAATGTAACACTACGTCCACTGTCTTCAGAGATCTGTGTCTGCTGGGAGAATTCTTTGTACCATGGACACCACTGTCCCCAAAGATGCTGCAAACACTAAGAATGTCAGGCATCCAGGCACCACTGTCCCAGCAGATGGTGAAGACTTTTAAGAGCTGGTGATGGGACAGTTTTATGTAACACAGTTAGCTCTGTCTTGTCCATCCTGCACCTGTTTGAAAGACATTTCTTAACTGTACTGAATCCGACTGTTTTAGTGAGGCTCCAGAACTTTTAATAACTGCAAGCGTCTCCTATATGAGGGCATTTGCATATATTATCACTGTTTCTCTTTGCCAGAATAGCTCTTGTGTGGAGATGTGTGTAATAGAAAGAATAAAGTACCACTTAGCACCGTAGTTGGTTTTGAAAGTTGTCTTTTTAGCTGTTGATATGAATTTTAGTAGGACTAAACTACATACTAGAACTAAAGCAGCTTCAGGAAAACCTGTTACTTGTCCTCTAGCTAACATGTGTGTAGTACCTGTAATAAAAGGGAACTGCTGTGCCTTAAGGTCATACTTGTGGTTGCTGAGTAAAATTTCCTGCCTTACTGTGTATTAAGTCCCTTTCAAAATATGCAGTGTCAAGCGTGGATCCTCTTGTTTGCAGTCTGATGGCATTAAAAATATTGAAGTCTAGTCTGTTGTATGGATGAAGAAATTAAAATAGTTTGTCAGAGTATTTGAAGCTGTTGAATCATTGCAAATAGAATGGTTCTTAATAAAACAGCATTCAGGTATAAATCCTCAAAGAAAACAGAGTTAATTTCTTGCTGTTCTGTTCCCTTGTCTCTTTATATTCTGATTTCTTTAGGCTGAATCTTAATAGAATCCTGTGCAATGCAGAAAACTTCACACTAAGCTTTGCAGTGTTTTTATGTGTCTGTGATTAGTGATGCAAAGTGGACTCGGGTTGTACAACTGCTCTTCCTTGAGGAAAAGATGCTGAGCCTCTTGGGTGCAGCACTGAATGTTTTGGCAAGTTGCATCAGCTAACTTGGCTGAACTGATGTAGAGCTCTTAGGGACACTCTTGCTTAAGAACAGCTAAAATTAAATTAATTCAGGATTACTTCTGATTTATCAGTAATCTGAACTCTCAAGCAGAGTGTGCAGAGTTGAATTCCATTTCTTAGATAAGACATAAGCCTATTATGGCCGAAACTGAGCAGGAAAGTTTGGAGTACAAATAATGCTTAAAAGTGTACCTTCAATTACAGTAATGATTCTTTGATGGTGAAAGGGATGGACATCATGAAAGAAATAGAATGAAATGAGCAAAACAAAACTAGGGAGCTGAATAATATTCATTCTAATTCCCTATTTGAGAACATAGAAACTGTCTGCAGCAGTTTTTAATCACTGTTTTTTCAGAAACTCCCCAGGGAGTTGGTAATGTTCTTCATGGAAATGTTTGAGGCAGGTTTACCTGTTGCTTGTCATAACTTTACATGGGACACACTGGTTTATGTAACTTTTAGTCATTTGGGAGAGAAGATCTTTTTGCGTAGGGTCTCTATTGGTATCTTAGGGCCAGGTCAGGCTGGCTACTATCACACACTTGAATGTTCCAAGAATGAAGTTCTAAGTACTGATACAGGTTAAATCATACTAGTATGTTTATTCAGTTCTTTATACAAGTTCTGGTGGCAAAGTGTTACTGTGAAGTAGCAAAACTTACTGGAGCAAAACTTGCATTTGTAGAATATAACTTATGGGAGGAAGGTTTGTGGTGTTGTTTTTTTTTTTTGGTTTCATTGCAGATCTCTGGTGTTAGTGTCTCTAATACTAGAACCTAAATTTGATTGGTTTGTTTTAATTCTTAAAATCTTGGTTAACTGTAAAACAAATGGGAGTTTGTAACCCTACCAGAGGGCAGGAATCTGTTCAGCCTCAAAGAACAAGCCTCTGGTAGAGCCTGCCTAGAACCTAGATCTTCTAAGACCCCAAAAGCAAGGGTCTTGTAAGACCCTTTAAGCCCTAAGCAAAAGATAAATGGTTTTCCTTTATTGAAGTGTTACTACAAGTGTTTTGGTATATATTCCCTCCCCAATATATACTTAATAGAACATTTGCATCTATAATACTCCTTTATTAAGAAGTCACCAGCTCTTACTGATTATTTTTTTAAATATTTTTTTCCTGTTAAAATGTTTGGTTTTTTTAGTTTTTCTTTTTAGAGCTTTTATTCTGCTTAGGCTCCTAAGGTCTTAAATTGTTGTGTGATGAGTGCTGAACGACTTCTCGCAATTAGATTGAGTTATGTTAAATGTACATAACAGTGACAAAATGTTTACTTATGCACACACCCAAGTTCCTGCTTATGTTCACTCTAGTGCCTGGACAGTTGGTTAGCGGAGCAGCCCTTAATAAGGAGACAGAGTCTCCATGTTTAGCTGACATAATTTGTTAAGAGAAACAGCAGCAGAGAAAGTCCTGCCTCATAGTCGTTAATTCTGCCTTTCATATGGAGGGTGTGATATAATCCCATAGCTTGTCGAGAGTTCTAATAAACTTCTACAGAATTACAGCTCATTTGATCTTTTCCTTTTTATTTCCCCCACATCAGCCTTGTGAATGGGAAAGAGCATTTGCTGTTTGTAGGTGTTTTATAAGGGTGCCAAATACCACTGCCCGTGTCTTGGTTTGACACTGAATACAGATTGTATTGA